CTCTGACTGCACAGATGCTGACAGACCTTGGCCTTCTCAAGAGGCTCCTTGCATCCATGTTTGTCCTTAAGCTGATGCCACATACTGGACTATGCCCTGTGTTCACTAGCCTGTCCCATGAGGTTTTTTATAGCTTGACCTCATCCGCCACCTCTCACCATGTAACCTGCTATAGCATGAGACTGGTTCCTGAACTTCATAGTGCTCTCAAGCCTCTAAGGCCTTTGCTCATACCATTTCTTCCATCTGTTCTTTCTGTGTGGAAAGCTCGCCCACCTTTCTCAGATTGGCAAACTCCTACTCATTTTTCAAGGTTCAGACTAAATTTCCACTTACTGTCCCAAAGCTTTTCCTAGTTCCCTTGGCAGAGTTGCAAGCCTCCTCTTCAGAGCTCCAACTGCACCACATTCCTCTGTAACCTCATTCAATCATTGCTGTTTATATATATGTCTCCCCTCTAAGTTGGTGTCTCTGGAACTGTGGCTGAGGTGGATACCTGATGTTTTTGCCAACTGGCTTTCATCTACTCATCCTACTTCTGGGAACAGTGCCCTAAATTTCCTTTAGGACACCACCCCACCCATGCTGTAAGCCCTATTATTTTAGACCATCCTTTTTAGGCCACTGGGGTTGATGTGGGGATGGCCACAGGACCCAATTTAGATTGATGCCCACCAGGCTCAGGACTTTAAATCATACTGTTAGAGGAAGAGAAATTCTCTTGGCTGGGCTTGAACTCAGGAGGGCATTAGCCTGGAGCTGCTGAACATCACTGCAGCTTCCAAATGAGCCAACCCTGCAAGTGTAAAGATGGAAACAAAGCAATGTCTAAGTGACACTGTTTGAGTCCCTGGATCACACAGCTCTTGGACTTCTCAGTTATGTGGCTCAGTGTTTTCTCTTTGACTTAAATCAGTTTGAGCAGGGGGGTTCTATCTTACAGCTTCAAGAGCCCTGATGCAGGAGGGTGGTGTTTCCTTCCCTGGCCACCTGGTATTCTATGAGAACAATTCATTGATTCAACTCTAGAAGGATCGGAACCTACTGGAAAAGACCCCAACACCATAGGATTCTCAGAAAGCAGGCAGAACCTGGCTTGGATCATCCATCAGCTCAGACAACAGACTCTGAGGTAGTCTCTCCTCTTGAGCCTTCAGGAATGGTCAACTTCAACAGCTAACTTAAGTGTAGGGAAGACAAAATCCAGAAAGGTTGACTTCCTCAAATGACTCAGCTAACATGCTGTCACAGTTCTACCTGATCTCAAAATCCACACTCTTTTTTTACTAGACCAGAGAAGGCACTAGTAGCTGCTGGGTCATGGAGAGGGAAACAGGGCCTCCTGGGGGAACGAAGCAAGCCACAGCCAGTGCTAGAGCCAACCAAATCTTTATTACTCTCTGCAGCGGAACTAATGGAGCCCCCATTCCCGGGAACTTCAGTGGGCTACTTTGGCTACCAGGCAGGGATGTTAGCATTTCTACTGGGGATTGGAACAGAAGCTGGAAAGAGACTGGAAGGGAACCAAAGGGGGAAACTGGTGGACCACCTGAGGGCAGGCACACATGGAGGCTTCCTGGGCTGGTGTAAAGGTGGATCAGGCCTCAAAGGAGAACACTGCCATCTCCCTCAGAATGAAGGATGAGACAAAGCCTGAGATGGTGACAGTCACAGCTGTGAAGAGAGGGCTGAGCTCCTAGTGTGAGAGGCATTTCTGGATGGAGGCCGCTTTCTAGGTTGGAAGTCTCAAATAGAACTCACCTGTTCCCCAACCAGGGGCCCCCACGTTCAGCTCAATTGTTATCAAGGGTACCAGGGGACCCAGGAAGCTGGTTGTGGGAAGGATGGGACTTAACTCGGGGATGTTTTGGGTATGAGCATGTGTCAGTATCAACAAAACAGGCAATATATTAATGATAGATGCAATCACGAAACTTCCCTCCAGAGAAGGCTCACATCTCCCCTTTCACCCAGGAAGCTCCTTAGCCTGAAGGCCCACCGTGGTCTGAACCCAGCCTCCACCCCAGCCCAAATGAACTCCCATTTAATTCCTTGGACATGTGATGACGTTCACGGCTCTGCACACTTGCCAATAACCGTTTTTCCAGCCTACCTGCCTTGCTCCCTGCCCCACCTGTTCTTGTCAAAGGACTGATAACTCTGCAGCTTTGTCAAGTGCTTGTTTACTCCTGTTCTCCCTATGAGGCCTCAAGCTCCCTGAGGAGAGAGCAGAGAGCCCTGAAAGCCGGATTCATGTCGCGTCTACAGCGCCTGGGGAACTCCAAGCCAATTAAAGTATTGGCTGTGCCCTGGTGTGTTAGAGGAAATTTATCCAAAATGTCTATAACAGATTTTGGGGGTGTCTGGCAGTAGATGTGGAGACTTCAAGCTATGTTTGTACCTGGGACGATAGCTTCTTCCCATGTGGGTAGTGAGGGTAGGGAGTCGGGAGAATGGTCCAAACCTGGAAGGAACTAATGGAGAGAATAGGGCCAAAGTGGGAAAGGACTTGGATGGTGGAGGGTGAGATCCAGGAGAAAGAGGGGTCTAGCAGTCTAAGCGCAGGGGCCAGTGCTCCGAGTCCCAGGGCTCAGAACCAGCAGGGCGACCACATGAGCGAACCAAGCGCTGCCCCAGTGGCGGCTCCCGCAAGCATGCCCATTGCCAGAGGGGCGCCGGCGCTGTAGCAGGGATCCTCCCGCACTATCACGTGCGTCACACCGGGGCCTGCAGAGGGAGACAGCACAGATAGAGACTTAAGAGGTGGGAGTAGAGTGATCTTCGTCCCCTTCCTGCAGCTCAACCCAGTATAAGGCGCCGAGCCCATTCTCCTACTCCCCAGTCAAAAAAAACAGATCCTTGCTCATGTAATCTTCCTGTTCCAGGAAGAGCTCCACCCATGGCTCCTAGGCCTTGGATCTGCTACGGACGTCCCGTAACCTAGGGGTCCGCTACGGCGAGCTACGGCGGAGCGGCAAGGAAACCCTGAGATCGCTGAGCACAACCAAGGGGCATCTAACGCTTGGGCGTTCCCGACCACCAGGCTCTAGAGCAAGGAGGGAGGAGGTGGCCATTCCTGCAGCAGCCACCAGGGGCCGCTACCGGCTCAGGAATAGGTATTTCAGACTGCAGGGCTGAAAGGAGCCAGCCTGGAGGGATGAGGTCAGCTCTGGAGGAATGCTGGTCCCAGGGCTATCCCAGTCTCGGCATGGGGACGGGCTTGCAGAGGGTTCTGCCTGGGAAAATCCTGTACACTAAAGATGAAGCCTGGTTGGACCGTGGCTGAGACAGTGCTGGATCAAGGCAAGCCCCGGGGCACGCTGGAGACTTACCTGCGTAGGGCGGCCCGTAGTAGCTGCGGACATACGTGGCCTCGTGTGCGTTGGGAGGCACCACCTCATAGTAGTCTTGGTATGGGCTGTAGACGCGCACCTGGAGAATTCAGGCAAGTCAGATGCTCAGGAACTCCCTGGCCCGGGTTTGGTCCCCTACCCCCATGCCTGGCTCAGGCCTCTCTGGGATCCTTGGAGCTGCCTTCTCAAGTTTAGAAATGGGCCTCCAGCCACCAGGAAGCTCTTGGAGAAAGGCCCTGCCTTCCCCACAAGGTCCACAATCCCTGTACTCTAAAACTTCCGCCCTGCATCCAGCTCCCAGAGATGTCCATTCTCCTACCCTGGCCTTCCATCTAGCTCAAAAAATTCTCCATGGCTCCCAACTTCTCTTCATAGTCTAATATTTGCTAGCAGCTCTATAATTATCCCACTTTGAGAGACCCAGCTCTGCCACTCACAAGGAGGGGAACATGGCCAAGCCCCAGGCCCAGGAAATAAACAGGGGTTGGGGAGGAAGGAAGGGAAAGGAAGGATAGGGATGAGGAGTAACTAAAATACAGTTATGCATCTCTTAAACAACAGGGATACAGTCTGAGAAATGCATCCTTAGGCAATTTTAGTTGTCATGTGAATATCATAGAGTGTACTTACACAAACCTAGATGGCACACACCTAAGCTATGTGGTATAGCCTATTGCTCCTAGCCTACCAACCTGTACTGCAGGCTACTGTCCTGAATACTGTAGGCAACTGTAACACAATGGTAAGCATTTGTGCATCTAACTAAACATATATAAACATAGAAAACGTAATGCATTGCCTTACAACATTATGACAGCTACAACATCACTAGGTAATAGGAAAGTTTCAGCTCCATTATAATCTTATGGAACCACCATTGTATATGTGGTCCATCAATGACCAAAAATTGTTAGGCTGCACTAGGCTGTAACGATTATCGAGCACCCACTATGTACCAGGTCCTGAAGGAAGTGATCACATGTGTTACCGCTTCTAATCCTTAAAGCAGGTATTAGCTCCACATAGCCATAGGGTTGGGGACTGAGGCTCAGAGAACTGTCAGTCTTCTCTCTGGAATGTACTTCCTGCCCTCCCTCTCTCCCATTAGATTTCCACCCATCCTTCAAAGCCTAGCTCAGAGGTCACCCACTCCACTCCAGGAAGCTCCTAATCTCAGGAAGAATGATTTTTTTTCCTGAATTCTTTGGACTTTGCTTGTGCCTCTTGTTGCTATCCTTTCTCCTGGCCTTTCTTGTGGCCCAAATGCAAGCTACCTCTAGGTGAGGACTCTGATTCATTCATGTCACCAGCAGGGCCTAGTGCATATCAGGAACCAAGAACTGTGTGCTGAATTAAATGGAAGCTCCAAACCCCTCATTTTACCCATGAGGCAGCAGACCTGGAGAGGGCTCATGATCCCCTTCTCTTCTGGATCTTTCCTCTTAGCCCCCTTCCATCCTGTCTCTCTCTAACCAGGATTCACAACTGAACAGTCCAGCTCCCCTTAGAAGTCCAGGAGTCTCAAACTCCACTCATCTCAAGGTGATTGCAACATTGCTCCATATGCTAAACCTGAAACCTGCTGCTCTTCTTATAAATCCTTTTTTTTTTTTTTTTTTTTTTTTTTTTTTTGAGACAGAGTTTCATTCTTGTTGCCCAGGCTGGAGTGCAGTGGCACAGTATCAGCTCACTGCAACCTCCACCTCCCAGGTTTAAGCAATTCTCCTGCCTAAGCCTCACAAGTAGCTGGGAGTACAGGTTCCCGCCACCACACCTGGCTAATTTTTTTTTGTATTTTTAGTAGAAACAGGGTTTCACTGTGTTGATCAGCCTGACCTCAGGTGATCTGCCCACCTCAGCCTCCCAAAGTGCCCAGCCTCATAAATGCTTTTCTCAGTACATGCCATCACCATGCACTCAAATCAAGAAAGACCAGGCACAGTGGCTCATGCCTGTAATTCCAGCACTTCGGGAGAGCGAGGCAGAAGGATTGCTTGAATGCAGGAGTTCAAGACCAGTCAGGGCAACATGGCAAGAACCTGTATCTACAAAAAATTTAAAAATTAGCTGAGCGAGGCCAGGCACAGTGGCTCATGCCTGTACTCCTAGCACTTTAGGAGGCCAAAGTGGGTGGATCACCTGAGGTCAGGAGTTAGAGACCAGCCTGGTCAACATGGAAAAATCCCATCTCTACTGAAAACACAAAATTAGCCAGGTGTGGTGGTACATGCCTGTAATCCCAGCTACTCAGGAGGCTGAGGCAGGAAAATTGCTTGAACCCAGGAGGCAGAGGTTGCAGTGAGCCAAGATTGTGCCATTGTGCTCCAGCCTGGGCAACAAGAGCACAACTCTGTCTCAAAAAAAAAAAAAAAAAAAATTAGCTGAGTGTGGTGGTGCATGCCTGTGGACCCAGGTATTTGGGAAACTGAGGCCGGAGGATCGATTGAGCCCAGGAGGTAGAGGCTACACTGAGCAGCATTTGCACCACGTATTCCAACCTGAGCAACAGAGGGAGATCCTGTCTCAAAAAAAGGAAAAAGAAAGAAGGAAAGAAAGCAGGTTGTTGCCCTTGTCTTTGCACATTCACTTTAGACACACCGGCCAGCAGGTCTTGTGATTTTACCTTCGAAATATGTTCTTCTGTACATTCTTTTGCCCAATGCCAAGAGAATAGGTGACTGGTTTTAGCAACTTGGAAGCTGTGAGTGACCTTGAAAAAACTTTTCAGGGTTGCTGAGTAGGAAAAAACCAAGCTATGAAGGGTTGAAGAAAGGCTGAGAGGTGAAGGATGCAATCTGCATGTCATGACATCTCTTTCAAGAAGTTTGGTGGTAAGGGGAAGGTCTCCAAGCACACCTTGTGATTTCAATTATCATGCTGTTTTCCTTTGATAGGGATGTGCTTCTTACCTTTCTCATTCAAGTACCCCACCTGTCTTTCAGACTCAACTCAAGCATCACTCCCTGAACCTCAGGTTCTCCCGTCTGGACACCCACAGCCCTTGGATGTCCCTGCATCACAGCACCGATCATGCTATCTTCCCACTGTGTACCTGTGCATGTACGTCTCTCCCATCAGACCGGGAGACACCTGTGAGGGCAGAGACTGGGTCTAATCAGATCTGAATGGAACATGGCAGGTACCTAATAAATATTTATTAAATTTATTCCAATGAATCAAATACAAGGCCAGACTGGAATTAAGGTTGCCCAATTCTGAGTTCAGTTTCAAGTCAGGGAAAACAAACAGTCCCAAGACAATGCAAGAGGCTCAGACAAGCAATGTTACACATCAGTGAACTCTATGGTGCTCCCTCCCCATCAGTGATCTAATAGGGATTTCTGGTAGGCAGTGCCAGGGATCCAGGCTTCAAGTCTAAAAGGGGCTGGAGGGTTCTAAGTTCTCAGATCCAATTTTATTGGTGGGGAAGTTGAGGTTCAGGGCCTCCACCTTGCCCTGCTGCTGCATAGTGAGTCAGTGGCCTTGAGAGGCCCTGGAGAGGGTGGAGCATCCCATGTCCCTCTAGGGCACCTGTTTTTACTCTTCAGGTCTGGGAGGCCCAGAAGTAAACTCCTGTAAGTCACCTGGCAACAAGTGGGGATGGCCCAGGGACCCATGGGCAGAACCTGAGGGTTTGAGCCTGCCTCTCCCTCTCCAGAGGCTCAGCTACTTTTTGGATAGCACCAGTGTTGACCAAACAGGGGGTCGCATACAAATGACTCCCCTTAGCTGAGCTGTTGTGTTATTAGGTTTACAGTCTGTTAAATCCTATTTTTTTAGGCATGAAGAATACCTCAGAATGATGAGCTGGGAGTCCCAGACCTGCCACTGATGAGTTGAGTGACCCTGATCAAGTTAGGTAACCTCTCCAAGACACTGAGGATCTAACGATGTCACATCTATACAACTTGGTAGCCCAAGCACTTGTAGGCTTAGTGATTCTGCACATCAGAATCATCAGGAGACAATTTATTTATTTGGACAATTTGGAGATAGATTTTTTTTTTTTGAGATGAAGTCTTACTCTGTTGCCTAGACTGGAGTACAGTGGCGTGATCTTGGCTCATTGCAACCTCTGCCTCCCGAGTTCAGCCTCCTGAGTAGCTGGGATTACAGGTGCCTGCCATGATGTCTTGCTAACTTTAGTACTTTTAGTGGAGATGGAGTTTCACCATGTTGGCCAGGCTGGTCTCGAACTCTTGACCTCAAGTGATCCACCCACCTCAGCCTTCCAAAGTGCTGGGATTACAGCCATCAGCCACTGTGCCCAGCCAGGAGACTGGTTCAAACTACAGGTTTCCTAGGTCTAGGCCCCATGCTAGATCTCTGAAATTAGGACATCCAGAGGTAGGACATGAATACTTGTTGTTATTGCTTGTAAGTTCCTAAGCAATCCTGATACACAGCCACACTGAGCCCCACTGTGTAAGAAGAGCTCCCAGTTGACTGTAAGATCACAGGTACTCTCACTTAAGCCCCTTCCTGCAACCTACCCCATGCCAGGCCCTGTGCTGAGCACAGGGACAAAGAAAAGATTCAGGCTGAAATCCTGCCTTCAAGAAATATTCAGGGTAAGTGAAGACAGACCTAGACTAAATTAGACTATGTAGTAGTATTGCTATAAAAGAAGTTTGTACTCCTTACTTCCTTCCTTTGCTCACCCAGTGAACATTCCCTGAGCCCCACTGTGTAAGAAGGGTCAGCATAGACTCCCCATCACTGAGCACTAATTAAGCATGTGCCATACACCTAGCCTTGTGCCAAGCTCCATAGAGGCAGTGCAATCAGGCGTGGTCCTTGCCTTGGAGGAAGTTCTAGGCCTTATGGAAGACTACAGCCAGGAATAAACCAGCTCTGAAACCAGGCAGATCAAAGAAAGTACTAAGCCTTAGTGCCACTAGGCTGTGGGAGGGAATGATAATGCTGATGGTCTGGGAAGTCCCCACTGAGGAGGTGGGCCTTACAGGATGGGTATCAGTTTGTCAGGTGAATGAGGAAACAGGTCTCACTGGCAGAGGGAACAGCATGTGCAAAGGTTGGCAGAGGGAAAAGGTCTGGTGTGGCTGGGAGCAGAGGGTACAGCAGAGCAGTTGGTTGGTGTCCTGTGGGTGACAGGGAGCCATGGAATGTTTGTCACAGGGAAGGGATGTGACTAGGCTGGGTTTTGGAGGCTCATCCTGGTGGCCAGTGTGGAGGCAGGGAGGGCCGAGCCAGCACTTACCCAGATCCGCCTCTCAACCTTACAGGGGCTCCACGAGCGGGTCACACACCTGACCTTGGAGCAAACCCGGCGGCTCCTGGGAGGGACGGTGGCTCCAGCTGGGGCCTGCTCAAGCCACAGAAACCCAAGAAGGGGGAGGGAGGGGGTGTCAGAGGCCCTCTACACCTGAAGAGACTCAGAGCTCTTTTCAGACCCTACCAGAGCCCTCCGTCAGCTGGGCTGTGGCAGGGAGTGTCCTCTTTCTCCTCAGCTCTCATGGTAACAGGGGAGGCTCAGAGAAGGCTGATGACTGCCAAAGTTACACAGAAAAGGACAAGTAGTCTCTTTCCAGAATTAGCCCACCCTCCCCTATTTCATGCTGCTGGGGTTTCCAGTCTCCAGGGAGGACAGGGTGACTCCCATCTGTCCTCTAGCCCACCTGGTCCGCTTCACCCCCAGCCTCGTCCCTGGCTATGGCCCCAGGCCCTGTGTTCCCAGTAAACTGGTGTTAGGGGCTCCTGGAGCCTCCACCCGGAGTGAGGTATGAATTGCAGCATGTCAGAGGACAAAGAGCAGGTCATTCCCACACAGGCTACAGAGAGAAGCCCATATACACAGAGGTGAACACACAGAGACAAGCAGACACACGCCCCTACTCTAGTAAGCCCAGGCCCAGAGGGATGTGTGTATGTGGAATATGGGAGATAGAACAGAGGTCGGAGCAGAGAGAAGGGTCAGGAGAGCCACAGAAGATGGTCAGGAGAGCCACAGGAGGTGGACAGGCAGAGAAAGACGAGGCCGCTTCATAGAGTCACAGAGTGCAGATGGTCGCCCGTGCTTCCTTCCCTCGACCTCTCTTTGGTGGAACTGATTCGACCCACATAAAGAAGCTTTGGAGCTCAGAGCCAAGGTAGCCCAACTGGGGACCCTCCACCCGGCAGACTACTGCTATAACCTCCTTACTCCCAGCTTCCTCCAATTCACCCGCCACTTGGAAGCCTGAGTCTGTCCCCCAAAATCTGACCTCAGCCCTCACTGCTGAATGCCCTTTTTTGCTCCCTACAGGCCTCAGGAAAAGTCCATTTCCTACAACTGGACTTTGAAGCCCATAGTGAGCTGGCCCCGATGACCTCAGAGGTCACTCTCCTGTTTTATTCACCCCATGAATTGCTCTCCAGCCAAGCAGACTCTGGGCCCTTAGACACATGCATATGTGCACACATACTTGTGCACACACACACATGCACACATCACTTCTCTGTCCCTGCTCATGCAGTTACTTCTGCAGATAATGTGCTCCTCTCAGAATATCACTGACCTAGGTTCCATGATAGGCTTTTCCACTGACTTAAGACTATAAGCTTTGGACAAGTCACCTGCCCTCTCTGAACCTCGGCTTCCTTATCTATAAAATGGGACTAAATACCAACCTCCACCCACCTGCCCTGCCAGGGTTGTTGGAAGATGAAATGTCACTGATGCCAGGGGCTTAGCATGATGCCTGGCCCTCAGCAGGTGGATGCCTGAGGGGGTTTCTAAATGCATCCAGGTCTCCCCTGCTGCTTCCCAGTGGACTTTCTCTGTAGGTGAGCAGGGCCTCCATTGTGCCACACATAGAAAGAGCAAGCACAGATTCTGGAGTCAGGCAGATGGGAGTGGAGGCCAAGATGGGCCTTGGGTGGCTCTTGAAACCCTCACCTCCATCAGTCACAAGCTCTGTTGACTCCATCCCCTAAATATGTCCTGTACTTGTCAGCCTGTCTCGGCCAGCAAGGCCTTAGTCCAGATCTCCAGTCTGTTGTCTGGACAGTGTCCCAGCCTCCTAACTGGCCTCTAGGTGTCTGCAGTTGCCCTCTACAATGCTTTCCCTACCTACCAGCCAGATTATCTTTTTTTCTTTTTTCCATAACAAAATTTCATAAACTGACAGACTACTCTTTGTTGTTTACATGCCAAATGTTACAAGTGTCTTTTTATCTTTTTTTTTGAGATGGAATTTTGCTCTTGTTGCCCAGGCTGGAGTGCAATGGTACAGTCTCAGCTCGCTGAAACCTCCACCTCCTGGGTTCAAGCAATTCTCCTGACTCAGCCTCCCAAGTAGCTAGGATTACAGGCATGTGCCACCATACCTGGCTAATTTTTGTATTTTTAGTAGAGACAGGGTTTCTCCATGTTGGTCTGGCTGGTCTTGAACTCCCAACCTCAGATGATTAGCCTGCCTCTGCCTCTCAAAGTTCTGGGATTACAGGCATGAGTCACTGCACCTGGCCAACAAGTATCTTTTTAAAAATATAAATTTAACCTGATCTGATCATGCCATCCCTCTGCTCAAAAACTTTTCATGGCACCCTGGTGCTCTTAGCAGAAACCAACATCCTTCATATAGCCCACAAGGCCCGGTCCTGCCAACCCTCCTTCCCCACTTCCCCACTTCCCCACTCACTCCTTAAGCACCAGCTACTCCAGCTGTCCTTCTGTTCCTCAACTTGCCAACATCTTAACTTCTCTTAGAGCCTTTGCACATGCTGATCCCTCTGGCTGGAATGCTGCTTAGCAAAGGGGATTCAGGGAATGCTGAATTCCCTTTACCTTAGCCCCACACTTTTCACCCGGTCAATTTCTGTTTATCCTTCAGTTCTCAGTTTAAGCCTCGCCTGAACTACCACCTGGATGAAAGGGCCAGACACTGCAAATCCCTGTCAGAGCCCTTATTACTATTAAAATGGAATAATTAATCGTTTCATGTCTGGCTCCTCACTAGGCTGAGTACAGGAGGGCAGAGCCCGCATCCCCTTGGTTCACCCCTGATCGCTGGCACTTGGCACAGCACCTGGCCCATAGTAGGAGCTCACTAAATCTTTGTTGTGCTGATGAATGAGTTTCAGTCTTACAGGGAGAGAACAATAACCCCAACCTTACAGGACTGTTGTGAGGAGCAGCTGGAATGGTACCTGCACCATGCCTGGCACATAACAGTTGCTTGATAAAAGACAGTTCCTTTTCCCCAGCTCACATGCCACTCCCTCCAGCAAGTCTCCATGGAGGCTTCTCTCTCTCCTCCGAGCACCAGTTGGCTGTCCCCTATCCTTTCCCACTTGGGACTTAGGCATCAGAGTCTACGCAAACACATGAGACTGAGAACTTCTGGCAGGTGGGGACCGAGTCTGAGTCACTCATGATTCCATGGCACATAGAGGTGGTGGGGAGAAGGTGAGAGAATGGGGGACTCACCGGGGTGGAGTTTGCCTCCAGCAGCGCTGTCTTCCATGCTCTGCAAAGCAAATCCCATCAGAGTATGAGGAGGGAGTTTGGGGGTAGGGAAATTGGGCCCCTACATTTTAGATTTTCCTCTTCAACCCAGCCTCAAGCCCGTCTCTCATGAAAGGAGAGATCTCTTGTCTCTCTCAGGAAGACAAAGGTGACCCCTCCCCTGCCCCAGTCACATGGATGGAACACTAAGTGAGCCTAATTTCATTCTTCTTGTCTCCTCTAGAAGTTCCAGTTTCCTCATCTACACAGTTGATGGTGGGGCTTGGGTGGTCTCTCAGAGGATGTCAGATTTTGACACTCCTGGGTGGGTGCTCTAGCCGCAGCCCCCCTCACACCCCAAATCTACAAACAAAACAGTTCCCCAAAGCTCTGACCCCAGAGTCCCAGGAAGGCCCAGCAGACACGGGACAATTGGGCCTTTGTTGGTTGCCATGGCACCTGCTGGGTTGGACAAGGCAGCTCTGTGCTGTCTGCCTGGAGCTCAGCTTCCCTACTCCCACACACCCATCTCTTTCACTCTCCTCCAGCGCAAAGGCCAGGCACCCCTCAGCCAGAGGGTAGGAAGGGATGGTATGTGAGTAAGCGGACGGTGCCTGAGGAGGACACACCCAGGCTGGCCGTGTGGATATGCATCTGACATTGGAGTACCCCTGCCTGGGACATAGCTGACTGCCTTTGTAGGCAGGTCTGGGGCTACCCTTCAGATCAGAGTCCACCAGAAGCGCAGGGCATCTTCTCAGAGGGGAGCAAGGGTGCCACTAGGCTGCCCTGCTGCTTTGCATCACCCTTGGTGAGGGCTCACCTCAGAGGCTGCTAAAGACCAGGAACCAGACACCTGAGGCAGGTGTGCATACCTCTCCTCAGCAATCCCGAGTTCATCTGAGACCACATGAGGAGTCCACTGTGTGCCATACCAATCAACCATGAGCCCTCCAAATCCACTCCACCCACCTCCAATTAGACACCCTTGCTGACTGGCTTCAGTGCCCTCTTCCTACTGTCAGAGAGTCAGAAGGCCCAATGAGAAGGGGGTGCATCGTCACTTTCTCGAGATTCCACCCCATCCTCTCCTGAGAGTGACTCACAGGGCATCATCCTTGGTCTCTGCACATAGGTGCAGGCGGGAGCCTTCCCGTAGGTTCACAGTGAGCAGGCCATCTCGGCTCCGGCCCTCTGGGGGCTGCACATCTGGAAGCAGACACATATATATGGGTTTCCACAGGCACAAGCCCCAGGTCCCCCCAGTAAACCAGGAACAGGAATAGGAACTGACTTCTTTGGGCTATTTACTGGCCATTGCCAACCTCCTCCGATCCCATATCCTCTCTCAGGGATTCTACTCTATGATACCAAACTTTCCAACCTTTCCATGCTGATGCTTCCCTCAGCATACCTCCCAGTTACCCTGTTACAACTGTGGCCTGAGCCTTGGGGGAGGAATGTGAAGATTTGCTGTGACTCTGGGCCACTTAGCTACTCTAAGCCTCCTAATTTCATTTCATCTTCATCCAGTAACTAGCGCCTGGAGGGCAGGAACTGCTCCTGACTCACCTCTGAGACACAGCACAGAGGAGAAAGGCACTAAAGGACTGATTTCTCTTTTCCTTGCTTTCTTTCTTTCTTTTTCTCTTTCTTTCTTTTTTTTCTTCTCTCTTCTTTTCTTTCTTTTTCTCTCTTTCTCTCTTTCTTTCTCTCTGTCTGTCTGTCTGTCTGTCTGTCTAGCTCTGTCCCCCAGGCTGTAGTATAGTACCATGAACACTCACTGCAACCTCTGCCTTCCAGGCTCAAGCAATCCTCCCACCTCAGCCTCTTGAGTAGCTGGGACCACAGGCACACACTACCATACCCGGCTAACTTTTGTTTGTTTTTGTTTTGGTAAAGATGGGGTTTTGCCATGTTGCCCAAGCTGGTCTTAAACTCCCAGACTCAAGTGATCCACATGCCTCAGCCTCTCAAAGTACTGGGATCATAGCTCACTGCAGCCTTGAACTCCTGGGCTCAAGCACTTCTCCTGCCTTGACCTCCCAAGTAAGCATATGTGACCACATCTCACCATTTTTTTTTTTAGAGACATGGTCTTGCTACCCAGGCTGGTCTAGAACCCCTGACCTCAAGTGATCCTCCTACTTCAGCCTCCCAGAGTGCTGAAATTACAGGCATGAGTCACCACACACAGCCAAGGACCTATTTCTTAACTCACACCAAACTAAATTGGAGTTGACAGAGGCTTAGAAGCAACATCTGGGAAATGCCTCTGAAAGCTGCAAAGAGGCTTCCAACTGCAGGTATTCTCAGACACAGGGGTAGGGCTCTGCCCACAGTCACAGTGCCACAGAGGAAGGGGCTTCTGCTCACCGTGGCACTCTTGGCCGATCTTTATGTCACGGACATTGAAGTGGATGAGCACACGGTCCTCCTCGTCCTGCGCTGTCTCATCATGGTAGTATCCCAGAGTTCCGTCCATCCACAGGGCAAACCAGTTTCGCTTCCAGCGGCGGAGAATGGAGCCTGTACAATATTCCAGATGCACTAGGCAGGCTGGTCCCAGAGCCTGCTGGTGATAGGAGCCCCAGACAGGCTCCCAAGTCCCCTCAGCCTCAGTCCCTAGTGTTATAACCACCTTTTTCTTGTGTATCTACTCCATGAGGGCAGGACCTCTTTCTCTCTTGCTCACTGCCTACCTCCCATTGGGCCTGATGCATAGTAGAGGCTCAATAAATTCGTTGAATGGGGAAATGAGTAATGGGGCCCATTGCTTGGGAGCTTCTAAGGCCAAGCTCCAGGTCTTTTCAAGGGCAAAGACCTCTCCCTACCTTGAGCCTCCATCTTCTCTCTCTCTCTCTTTTTTGAGATAGGGTCTTGCTCTGTCACCCAGGCTGGAGTGCAGTGGTGCAAACATGGATCACAGCAGCAAGTGATCCTCCCACTTCAGCCTCCTAAATAGCTGGGTCATCAGGCATGCACCACTGCACCTGGCTGATTTTTAATTTTTGGTAGAGATAGTGGGTCTCACCATGTTGTCCAGGCTAGTATCAAATTCCTGGGCTCAAGCGATCCTCCCAGCTCAGCCTCCCAAAGTGATGGGATTACAGGTGTGAGCCAGTGCGCCAGCCTCTTATCGCTCATCCCTGACTCATGTGATGGTTATTTGTGTAGCCTCTGCCTCCTGTACCAAACTGGGAGTTGCAGCTCCCCACACAGGTCCTGGAACCTGGGGAGACCTGTGCTCAGTGTTTGCTGAATGGAATGAACTGAGAATGGACAGGGGGATGGGGCATGGGGCTGCCTGTCCCAGGGGTCCCAGGATGATTCTGGTCAGAGGTGGGTCTGGAAGCCTGACACCTAGCTTCAGACATTTTGCAACTGGAAATCTTAACAGGGAAGGGCAAAGACATAAGAGAACTTCTGAGGGCTTTGTGGATTCCAAAGCACAGAGGCAGTTTTCACTTTGTTCTGTACATTGTTCTATGTCCAGCCTGGGGTTGGGGGACTGTGGACACACAGAGGGTCAAACCCAGCCCCTGCCCTTGAGAAGCTCGCAGACTGGGGGCAGTCGGGTCAGGGAGTAGGGAGACCCACAGATAAAGACAGTTCTGTTATAAGGAGATCACTGTAAGGCACGGTGGGAACCAAGAAGGGAGCCTCTAATCCAGCTTGACACTACCGCAGGGGCAGGGGTGGGGGCTGGAGGAAAAGCCAAGGAAGGCTCCTCAGGGAGGGGCCCATCTGAGATGAGTGGTGAAGAACAAGTGGAAGTTTACCACTCAGTCAGGAATGGGAAAGACCTTCAAGCAGAGGAAAGAGTGTGGTCAGAGGAAAGGATGAAAACATCCTGGCTTCTTGGGAGAAGGGTTCCCCGTGGCAAGCCCAGTAAGTCACTTCTCTCACCCTGCCCCAGGACCAGGGGCCCAGGATCACTCACTCTGTCTCCACAGCCAGCCGCCCCTCAGCAGGGCCATTTCTTCAAAAGGACTTTCCAGGGCGGAGTCAGGCGGGACCTGTCAGAGGAGCCACAGGAGACAGGCCTCAGCAGCAACTCCCTGGAGAGAAGCCCCCAGCCCTGCCGTCCCCAGGGGAACCACCCAGGAAACGTTTGAAGGAGGGTTAGTAAAAAAACAAGCACCAGGCAGCCTCGGCCTCCTCCCCATTCTCTGCTCAGGAAGAGAATGGGAGCACTGTCCTTGTGGGGTCAGCAGGGCAGCCAGCCGTTGGTGTGGGGTGGGGGCGGGGACCAGGAGCCTGGATTCCAGCCTCAGCTCAGTAACCTTGGCCACATCCCTCCTCCCTGCCCCTCTGTCCTGGCCTCAGTTTCTAGCTTAGTAGAAGTGTGTCTGCAAGGCAGGCAGAGGCTGCAGGAGCTCTTGAAACATTAGAATATGCTTCTATTGTGGAGCATGAGACTCTTAAAGTATTAGAACCGTGGGATTCTGCAATGTGGAAGTGCAGAATATTAGAATCACAGCAATGCACGGGGGAAAGCCTCCCTCCCATTTGGATCCCACTAGAGCTGTTTACAAAGTGCTTAACAGAGCAGCTCAACAGCAGTTGTGATGGACGGAGCACTCTGTCCGAGTACCCGCCTCGGTGCTTTCATTCATTATCTCATTTAAGCCTCCCTGCAGTCCTTATTCCTATTTCAGAGATGAGGAAACGGGGCCGGAGAGGTCTAATCAGTTGTTCGGGGCCACTTGATCAGTAAGCAATGGAGCCCAGCCTCACACCCAGCAGTCCTGGCTTCAACTGTTATGCCAGCAGGAGCTTCAAGAACTCCCAAAGCCAGGCCACACTCCAAACAATTAAATCAGAATGTCTGAGGGCAGGAGGCAAGCCCTGGCACTCTTCAAAGATCCTCAGATGATTGCAATGTACAGCCAAGTTTGGAAGTCACCGCACATACTACTTCCTCACCCTGTCCCCACACTAACCCTGTTAGGGAGGGAAGCTTTACTCCTATTTTACAGATGGACAGACCGGGGGGCGGCAAATGACTCATCCATGTATGTGATGGAGCTTGCACTGGAATCCAGGTAGGTGCCCTCTGTTCCTGAGGGCGACTCACTTGCCAGCGGGTGCCTCCACCCCTCCCCCACCTGCTCACACCTGTTGCTGCGTAACAAGGGCTGGCACACCTGGGCTGGAAGGCCCGGTCTTGTCCGTTCCTCTTGCCGCTCCCTGCCCTCTCCACGGTCTTAACACAAGTCAGACAAGAGGCCCAGGTGCAGACTCCCTTTCCAGTCTCCCCTTGATGCACCCACCTGGTCTACACCTGTTGCGGATGTTGCTGCCAAAGCGGCCACTACTCGATGCTGCTGCCACCCAACCCGCTGCGCCTGCGCTTTGTGTGCCCCGGAGAGCCTGGGGCATTTCTCTCCTCCGGCAGTGCCTGGGAGCCCAGCTGCCCCCGGGCCCCGCCCTCCGGACCTGCCCACCCCCAGGGAGGGGGCGTGGCGTGGAGAGATGCTGACCCGAGGCGTGCTGGGACTTGTAGTCTACCCCTTTAGAGCCGAACAGAAGCAGCCTCGCCTGCAATTTTACTTTTCTATTAAGACATTTGTTCACTCATTTATCATGAAATACTTTTTCTTAAGAATCAGTGAACTCAGTTCCTAGAAAAAAAGAGTAAAGTTGCAAGGAGAAGTCCTAGTGTTGCAAGTTTTTTTTTTATGCTTCCCCCTTCCATCCCCAGCTTCCAGTCTAGTGAGGGAGATTACATGGAAACACGCAACTGGAGCGCAGGGTGTGATTTAACAATGGAAAAGATGAGCCTGACTTTTCCCAAGGGGTTCAGGAAAGCTTCCCAGAGGAGGCTGAAAGGCACCTTGGAGGATGAGTGGCAGTTTCCAGGGCCACCCGAAGGGTCCCTATGAGCACTGTCAGGATGTTGAAGAGTGCCCAGCATTTCTGTGTGTCTACAACATAGAGCTCAGGGCTGGGGAGGGCATGGGGAGTGGCAGGCGGTAGAGCTGCAGGATTTGCAAAGAAACAGCACAGAGGCCTTGCACGACAGGTGGAGAGCTTGGATGTTATGACGCAGTAACTGGAGCTGGGGGTGGGAGTTTCAAAATGAGAAGTGAGGTGTGTGATTAGGGGGTCGGAAAGGCCCCTCTAGGGCACAGTAAAGAATAGATTGGAGGGGGCCCACCTGGAGAAGGAAGACTTTCTGTATTTATCACCTCGGATTGTGATCATTTCCTTCAATAGCTCAGACCCGAAAACCCACACCTACCAGCAGCCACAGGATGTCATTTAGAGACCAGAGGCTGTCAGGGCCTAAAAGACTTCTATCCCGTCCCCTATGTAGCAAGGGTGCCCACCCTGCCCTGGGTCCTTCCTCCTGTCACAGAAAACTCTTCCTTACCGGGGCTGCAGGGCTCATGGTTCCCGGGCGGCCAGGGCAGCATTTCCCAGAAGGCTCCCGCAGGGGGGCATTTCCCTGAGCGCCTTAGAGATAAGGGGATCAGGAAGGTGCTACCAAGTGGGAGACCGAGGGGGAGGCAAGGAGGGAGTGCACAAGTAAGGTCGCCCTTTTTCTCCAGGCCCCTCCCAGCCTTTCCAACTGATGGCTCTAACCCTAGGTTCACCGGACAAGTCATCCCGGATTCCGAGGTGGTCTTAGCCCAGCATCGCCAAGGTTCCCGGGGTGGAAGCGGGGTGGGGGTGGGGAACGCGGTTGCGGGGGGAGCACGGGAACAGGGTCGGTCCTCCTCCCTAGGTTGGGGGCGGGGCTACATCTTTATTCTGCGGCCTGTCTGGCCAGCGCCCATCACCCCAGTCCTGGCTGCTCAGTCTGGCTCTTTAAGCCTTCCTCTCTTGCTCCTGCGACTCTGTAATCTTGACCTCAAGCTACCCGCGCGCTTCGGACCTTTGTGCGGTGCGTGCCCTGCTGAGGGATTCGCCATGGCCAATCCTATTGGCCATTGAGTTCATCCCCTCTTAGCCGACCAAAGAACCAGCTCTCCCAAACCGCGTTGTTTTTCATCTCTGTGCCTTGAACTCACTCGCTGTCTGGTCCCTGGAACGTCCCAGCTCCAGCTTCTCCTAGCTGAATTTTCCACCTCCACAGTGGAAGGAAGAAAGGAAGGAGGAGGAGGGAGGAAAGAGGGAAGGAAAGAGAGAGGCAGGAAAGAAAGGAGGGGAAGGGGAAGGCAGGCAGGCAGGGCTGCAGCTGGTCTCAGAGGATCTGCGACTGGGTCCTGCACCAACCCAGCCTCTCTTCAGCTCTCCCTGCTCACCTCCCCGATGGGCAGTGGGGCATGCTTCATGTTGGGGGCGGGGATGCAATCCTCCTACATTTCATTCTCCGGATTTAGCAACCAGATGAAAAAGGAAGGTTCTCCAGCAGCAGTGGAGACTTGGAGGGAAGACTCTTCCCACACCCTCCCAAAGAGCGGGCACTATGGCAAAAAAAGGGGAAAGGACGTGGACAAACTAAAACCACAGACACCACTGACGTAGTGGGTCTTGGCCCATGTCTCTAAATGTTGGGCAGTGACCCTCTTTGAGAAGCAAAAAGGAACTGTAGACTCTCCTCAGGAAAAAAAATCTGCACATAATTCCTGGGAGTTCATAGACCCTGAAGCCATGATGGTCATTATTGGATTGTTTTGAATCTCCAAAACTGTGTAGATGGGAGGAGAGTGTGGATTTACCACTGAGGTATATGACACTGTGTCAGGAATTCCAGCCGCAGCAGCCCTGGCTGTGAAAGACTTTGACTGTTTGTTTCAATCAACTAAAACTTACTGAGACTAATAAGCCAACAAGTAACTTTTACATTTCTTTGCGGCTATGTTGCACAGAACCATTGGCAGAGAGGAAAAGATTTTGTCATTTCAAGTGTCCCTGGTGAGTGAAGAGCCCACAGATAATACATTGTTTAGGAAATAATGGACTAGCTCATCAAATTCAAATTTACTACTTAGATTTTCTAGAGAGTATATAATGAGAATAATTTATATTACCTTTATTTAAAAAAACGACGTTTATATCAAGATGCAATTTGAGCAAAAAAGCGCTATGAAAACATTTTAAAATGACAATTTTTGTGAGATATGATTCACTCACCATAAAACTCCCCCTTTTAAAGTATAAAATTCAGTGTTTTAATGTATTCACAAAGTTGTGCAACCATCACCCCTATCTAATTTCAGAACATTTATATCACCCCAAAAAAAACCCTAGGCTGGGCACGGTGCTCACACTTGTAATCCAGCACTTTGGGAGGCCAAGCTGGGTGGATCATCTGAGGTTAGGAGTTCAAGACCAGCCTGGCCAACATGGTGAACCCCTGTTGGGTTTTTCCACTAAAAATGGAAAAATTAGCTGGGCATGGTGGCACGCGCCTGTAATCCCAGCTACTCGGGAGGCTGAGGCAAGAGAATTGCTTGAACCTGAGAGATGGCGGTTGCAGTGAGCCAAGGTCGTACCACTACACTCCAGCCTGGGCAACAAGAGTGAAACTCAGTCTCAATAAAATGAAGAAGAAGAAGGAGGAGGAGGAGGAGGAAGAAGAAGAAGAAGAAGGAGAGGAGGAGGAGGAGGAGGAAGAAGAAGAAGAAGAAGGAGAGGAGGAGGAGAAGAAGAAACCCTATAGTCTTTAGCAGTCACTTGAGCTTGGGAGTCGAGTGCACCACTGTACTCCAGCCCGGAAGTGTAATGGTTAGTGTCAACCTGGTTAGGCTATAGTCCCCAGTTACTCAATCTAACACACTAATCTAAATTATTAGTTATAATAATTTAGTTATAAATTATTGTTATAAAGATATTGTGTTGTTATAAAGATATTGTGTAGATTTGGTTGACCTATACAGTCAACTGAAGTTAAGTAAAGGAAAATATCTTTTTTTTTTTTTGAGAGGGAGTCTTGCTCTGTTGCCCAGGCTGGAATGCAATGGTGTGATCTCGGCTCCCTGCAACCTCCGCCTCCCAGGTTCAAGTGATTCTCCTGCCTCAGCCTTCCGAAGCTGGGATTATACGTGCCCGCTACCACACCCAGTTAATTTTTGTATTTTTAGTAGAGACAGGGTTTCCCCATGTTGGCCAGGCTGGTCTCAAACTGCTAACCTTGTGATCCGCCCACCTCGACCTCCCAAAGTGCTGGGAATACAGGCATGAGCCGCCATGTCTGGCCAGGAAATTATCTTTGACAATGTGAGTGGGCCTCACCAATCAGTTGAAGGGCCTAACAAGAAAAATAGGTTTCCCTGAAAAAGAAGAAATTCTGCCTGTGGATTGGACTGTAGCCTCAGCCCCAGCCGGAGAGTTTCCAGCTTGCTCTGCAGATTTCAGACTTGCCAGCCCCCCCCACCCCATCATATAAGGCAATCCCTTAAAATAAATCTCTTTGTGTATGTATATATCTCCTACTATTTCTGTTGCTCCGGAGAGCCCTGACTAATGCAGGAAAGAAGTCTTCCTTCCATTAACTCCCCATTTGAATCAATTGGAAACACCAGGTTTGGGAATGGAGGTGGAAGGCCTGGCAGACAAGGAGATCTGAGGGGAGGGTGTTGAGAGTCTCCTGTCTAGAGAAAACTGTACCCCATGCCTAGAGATGGGGGGCGGTGAAAATGCTCCCTGAAAAATACTCCATCTGTGTCATCAGATGAATAAGGACTTCTAGAAGCTCAAGGTTAGTCACCTTTCTTTATTCTTTGGTTTTGGGTTTTCTTTTTTTGTTTGTTTTTGTTTTTGTTTTTGTTTTTGAGATAGAGTCTGGCTTTGTTGCCGGGCTGGAGTGTAGTGGTTTGATCTCGGCTCACTGCAACCTCTGCCTCCTGGGTTCAAGTGATTCTCATGCCTCAGCCTCCCAAGTAGCTGGGACTGCAGGTGTGCACCACCATGCCCCCTAATTTTTGTTTTGTTTTGTTTTTCAGTAGAGACAGTGTTTCGCCATTTTGGCCAGCCTGGTCTTGAACTCCTGACCTTAGGTGATCTGCCCACCTCTGCCTCCCAAAGTGCTGGGATTACAGGTGTGAGCCACCACGCCCAGCCTCTTTATTCTTTGTCTCATCTTTGCCATCTCTAGTTTTGAGACACAGAGCTTCCTTTCAGCCTCCTATACTCTCAACCACCGATCATGAGCTTTTAGTTCAAGGGAAATAACTTGGTTTTCAGATTAACAAATGATCCTGTTGCACTTTGCTACAGGGTCTTTGACTTGCTTTCTGAAGGTCTTCAGCTCTTTATAACATGCTCATCTTGGCATTTGCTTCAGAACTTTCCTCCTCTTGCTCCAAGTAATGACCTTCCCAGACAGATCATTTCTCAAGAGACTGCACTGCTTTGTCTTGGCAAGGTTCAGTCACTTCATTTCCTCTCAGCAGAAGATTTTGATCTGTATTTTCAATCGAGGTTCACTCAGCCTGAAGATTTTTTTTACCTGATCTGTCTTGGCTTTTCTGTGTTCTTCTTTAGCAATTTGATGTAGAATTGATTTTTCTCTCCATCTGGGATGTTTAAATGTACACTTGACTTTTCAACTTCAATTTCCTCCTGGCTCCTCTTGTCTGGTCATAAATACTGTCTTCATCTGCAGATTCTAAGTTATTACCCATGTTCTCTTCTCCAGGGGAAGCTGTCACATTTTTTATGTTTAGGCCAGGCATCGTGGCATACATCTATAGTCCTAGCTACTGGGAAGGCTAAGGCAGGAGGATTGCTTGAGCCCAGGAGTTCTAGGGAGCAGTGAGCTATGAGAGCACCACTGTACTCCAACCTGAGCAATAGAGATCTTGTCTCTAAATAAATAAATAAGTAGAAAAATTCTGCCCCAAACCAAGATTACTGTTAACACCTGTAGTATCACAACACACATTAACTCTCTCCCATTAATTCCCCAGAAGAGTAAATCTTAGTCTTACCTTGTCAGATACTTCTCCATAAAATGTTGCAGTGGGCCAGGCAAGGTGGCTTATGCCTATAATCCTAGCACTTTGGGAGGCCAAAATGGGTGAATCACTCGAGATCAGGAGTTTGAGATCAGCCTGGCCAACATGATGAAACCTTGTCTCTACAAAAAAATACAAAAATTAGCCAGGCATGGTGGCGTGTGCCTGTAATCCCAGATACTCGAGAGGCTGAGGCAGGAGAATAGCTTGAACCAGGAGGCTGAGGTTGCAGTGAGCCAAGATCCTGCCACTGCACTCCAGCCAGGACAACAGAATGAGACTCCATCTCAAAAAAAAAAGAGAACAAATGAATGAGGGTGAATGAAGCCATCATTTGTTATCTATGAAGATTCATATATAATACTTTGTTGACTTGACAGATAATTCTTGTAGGAAAACTTAAAACTCCTTTCAGAATTCAGTGTAGGATGGCAGAGAGAAGATGAGGTGGTGGCAGCTCCGGCCTGGGTTCCTCTCTCCCTCTTGCCCCAACCCCCACACCCACTCTTGCCATCCCCATTATGAGACATTGAACAAATTGCTGAACCTTTCTAAGTGTTCTTTTCTCCTTGATAAGTGGAGAGAGCATTGCCCTCCTCATGTGAGTGGTGGGAGGATTAGGGGATGACAAAGAGCCCAGCAGGTAAGGGCTTCACCACCTTTTAGTGAACCTCCTTATTCCATTATCCAAGACATTAGCAAACTCCTGTTAATCAGATGTTTGGTTATTCTACCCAGGTTGAGCCCAAGCATTAAGATAAGAAAATAGCTGCTTTAAAAACTTTATAAAAAAAGAAATAAAACTCTTTTTACTGCTAGAAATAATATGTCTAGTAAACATATGAGATTCTAATGAAAACTGCTAAAATTAATAAGAGCACAGGGCAAGGTGACTGCATATAAGATAAATATAAAAAGCAAAACACTGGCCGGGCACAGTGGTTCACACTTGTAATGCCAGCACTTTGGGAGGCCAAGGCAGGTGGATCACCTGAAGTCAGGAGTTCAAGACTAGCCTGGCCAACATGGTGAAACCCTGTCTCTACTAAAAATACAAAAATTAGCTGGGCATAGTGGCAGGCACCTGAAATCGCAGCTACTCAGGAGGCTGAGGCAAGAGCATTGCTTGAACCTGGGAAGTGGAGGTTGCAGTGAGCAACATTGCACTCCAGCCTAGGTGACAAGAGTGAAACTCCATCTCAAAAAAAATAAAAATAAAAAAGCAAAAAACCTTTTTTTTTCCTAGTAAAAACTTTATAATGAGGTATGAAAAGCAGCTGCAGACTTCTAGCTCTCTCCCCTTTCTTTCATTCCCTCCTCTGGAACATTGGCCCCCTATGGTTGGTTGAGCAGCTTTTCATTGCTTTTATATATTTGGTTTGGGACAAGGAGTGGGGTTGTTGTGAGAGGCTATTTTTATCTGTCTTTTCTTGTCATTCTCAGCAGGAGTACTCAATGCCAAAGGCTGCTCTATCATACTTGGAAGCAAAAGTGTCAATCTTTTTTTTTTACTCTTAAAATGAATACCTGGAAATAAAACGGGGATGGGGGTTATATTTATGGTAGCAACCAAAACTAAGAAATACTTCAGAATACATTTTCTTTAGAAGAGTATTGATCCATGCCCACAAAAGCAGTAAATAAAGAAAAAAGAAAAAAAAAAAACGTATTGAACCCATAAAAAGAAAACCACAAAATTGTATTAAAAGATATAAAACAATATTTGAATGAATGAAAAGATCATCACATTTTTGTATTAAAAGATATAAATTCATAAAAGTGTCAGTTCTTCAAAATTACTATATAAATTTCATGTTGTTCCAGCTAGAATATTAATAAATTTCTTCTTTTTAAAAGAATTGTCAAAAGTATGAAAAATAAGAACAGAGGGGAGACCTGTTCTCCAGAAATGAAGATTGACCAGAAAACCACTAATCAGAGCAATTGGCAGTGGAGACTGCTAGTCTACCCTCAGTATTCATTCTTCCTTAGAAACCTACATCTACATCTGGGTACCCAGCCACTTGGAATAAAAACCACATCTCCTAGCCCATCTTCAAACTTAGTATGGCTATGTGAGTGAGTTCTGGCAAATGAAATACAGGCAGAAGTGTCCTGTGCAACTTCAGAAAATGTCCTTAGACAGGGAGAGACATCTTTCTTTGTCCCTTTCACCTTTTGTTGGTTGGAAAGCAGTCATTCTGGCTGGAGCTGGAGCAGCCATCTTGGAGTAGGAGAGAAAAGCCATATGTTGAGGTGGAAGAATAACAATACAGAAGGAGCCTGGGTCCCTGAAACTGTGGAAGGGACCCAGGACTTATCCCTGGACTGCATTTATGAGAGATAGAAATAAATGTTTATTTAGTTTAAGTCACTATTTTTTCTGTCAATCACAGGCAAACCTGATTCTAACTGATATTAAATTTGGTACCTGGAAAGAGAGTACTGCAAGTGACAGAACCTAAATGCTTAATAAGTGAATGCAGGTGGGTGGCAGATGGCAAGGATTCAGACATTGCTGACTGAGAAGCTTGTGATCCTTGCTATGCAGTAGTCAAACATTTGATCACAACCTTGTGTTTCAGTTAGCTGTATTATTGTGTGGCAGACTACTCCAAACTTAATGGGTTAAAACAAGTGTTTTATTACCTTTCACCATTCTGTGGGTTGACTGTGATCACTGGGTGTGTCGCCTGGATCTCACAGGTGTATCTCATGAGGCTGTGGTCAGATTGAAGCTGGGATGAATGTCCAAGTTGGCCTCATTCACATGTGTGGCACCAGGATGGCCAAAAGCTGTGACCTCTCCTTCCATGCCTTCCACGTGGCTTAGCTTGGGCATCTTAACATGGCGGCTGGATTCCAAGAATGCAGAAGTGGAAGACCTTCTTAAGGGTTAGGCCTAGAACTGACAAGTATCACTGCCACATTCTATTGGTTACAGTGAGTCACAGGCCCAGCCCAGATGTTAAAGGGAGGATACTAAACAAGGCTGTGTATACTGGTGACATGGCTTTCTGGGGACAATCTTCAGGCAATAGCTAACTCACCTTGGAAGGCAGCTCATGGACTGACTGAGGTTGTAGCAATGCAATGCAGCCATGTAGAAATGATAAGGAAATTCAGGGCTGGGTGCAGTGACTCATGCCTGTAATCCCAGCACTTTGGGAGGCCAAGGCAGGTAGACCACCTGAGGTCAGGAGTTTGAGACCAGCCTGACCAACATGGTGAAACACTGTTTCTACTAAAAATACAAAAATTAGCCAAGTGTAGTACTACAGGCACATACCTGTAATCCCAGCTACTCCAGAGGCTGAGGAACTGCTTGAACCAGGGAGGCAAATGTTGCAATGAGTCAAGATCATGTTATTGTACTCCAGCCTGGGAAACAAGAGCGAAACTCTGTTTCAAAAAGTAAAAAATAAATGATAAGGAAATTCAAAATGTTCCTGTTTTCTGGCTTTTTCTTGCTGCTTTTAGCAAGTCCTATGAGAGAGAAAATCAAGCTAGAGTTAGCTTCTCTGCATAGCTTTTCTAAGGGAGGAACTCTTTGCTATAACCTATAATCTGAGTTGATTGAGAATCCTGTAATTTTGAGTTCTGCAGACTTGAAAAAGCCATTGCTTCCGCACCGAAGCAGTTATAAGTGGTAACTGCAAAGTTGCAGCCTTAGCAGGAATTAAGACTAGTGCCCTCTTTAGAAAAGCTGTGAGCCTGTTGGCAAAGAAGGAATTAAGGATGGTGCTTTCCCACTCAAGCCTGTTGTTTCAGATGGCTTGAAGAAAACCATCATTAAGTTTGGGGAATGGCTGGTAAGTAAAAGATCAGAGTTTTCAGGCTTGAAAAACACATCTAGATAAGATTTTTGGCTATGGTTATTCACGTTGGAACTGACCAGAACAAAATGGACTAAAGGTCTATGACATTTTTGAAGGAATAGTGCTATCGATGAAACCCCAAACTCTGCCTGCAAGAGCCTGTGACTGCTCAACCCTCAAAACACTCTTTCGGCTCTCAAACCTGCCCCCACCAGGAAGTGGACTTGGGTGCCTGCGAATTTCCCAAGAAGGAAACATTCTTCTTGGATGGCTTGTGTACTACTTCTCAGTAATGTGGCCCATCTAGGAATTAAGTGAGGACTATTTACTTATTAGTTTAACCAAATGCTTCCATATCCCAAGCACAGGGTTACAGTTATACTGGGGTTGCAGTTATAAAGGGAGGAGCAGCAGCTGAGAGTTTAGGAGGGGTGGTGGTAGGACCCCTACTCACTCAGACTCACCATCCACAGTTGTGTCTCCTTGGGGAGGCCCTTTTGAAGGGATCCAAAGGCCCTACCTCTCCTGCTGTTGCTGATCTCTGCTGGGTATCCTGGCTGCACCAGCTTCTTCCTATGTCCCAGATATGTCAACTTTGTTGGATTTCCCAGCTCATCCCTCTATCTGGGTCTGCCATTGATATTTGCTAATACACTGGTTAAATAGGTTGCATGGGTTGGAGACACTTATGGCCCTGGTGTCCTCAGACAGATTATTCCCAAGATTGGACTGTGCAAGGCAGTTGCTTGCAAGCTATTAAGCCATGGCCCTTTTATTTTATTTTACGTTTTTTTCTGAGACAAGGTCTTACTCTGCCACCCAGGTTGGAGTGCAGTGGTGCAATCATGACTCACTGCAGCCTTCACCTCCCGGACTTAAGTGATCATCCCACCTCAGCCTCCCAAGTAGCTGGGAATATAGGCATGTGCCACCATGCCTGGCTAATTTTTTATTTAAACATTTTTAATTTTGGAGAGATGAAGTCTTATTATTTTGCTCAGGTTTGTCTCAAACTCCTACGCTCAAGCAGTCCTCCTGACTTGGACTCCCAAAGTGTTGGGATTGCAGACATGAGCCACTGTGCCCAATGAATAGCCTTTTTACACAGTCCAAAAAACTCCATGTGCCAGCCAAGTAGCCCATTCCACATTCAATGACTGGTGACAACAGCAAGCATTTTTGAGATTATGTTTTTAGTTTTATGCTTTAAAAGTAGGAGTATGAGTAATTTAGACATGAACTCTAGTATTCTAGTCATAACGTGGCATAAATCCCAACTCTTTATAGGTAAATATGCCTGATCAGGAGGAACTCTCAGAAATAGCCAGTATCAGGCAGGGCTTTTGGTTGTACACACAGAAAGTTGGGTCTCGCTTAAGCAAAAAGTATGTTCTCTCTCTTTGCCCCTGTTCTTCATATGTCTGCTTCATTCTCTCCTACCTACCAGCCCTAGGAGAAAAAAATCCCAGGGAAGGATACTGATTGGCACAGCTTCTGTCATGTGCTTATCTTCTGTTTGTTTGTTGTTGTTTTTGAGATGGAGTCTTCCTCTGTCGCCCTGGCTGGAGTGCAATAGCACGATCTCAGCTCACTGCAACCTCTCCCTCCCGGGTTCAAGCAATTCTCTCCTTCCGAGTAGCTGGGATTACAGGCATGTGCCAACACTCCCATTTAATTTTTGTATTTTTAGTAGAAACAGGGTTTCACCATGTTGACCAGGATGGTCTCGAATGCCTGACCTAAAGTGATCCACCCACATTGGCATCCCAAAGTGCTGGGATTACAGGCATGAGCCACAGTGCCCAGTCTGTCATGTGCTTATCTTCTAACCAATGGGCAGGTTCTATTTCCTACAAAAGGGTAGGAGGGTAGGAAAGGCTATTCAGAGGATTTAAATAATAGCCTACACATTTGAGTGGAGACAGCAAGGTTCCAGGGAGCAGAACTTTATTAGGAAGGAGTTGCTGGAATGGCTACTTTGGTTATGTAAATATAACATAAATTGATAACAGTGTTCTGGGAGAAGGGTGATATAGGCCTCTGGTGTCTTAAAGAAGACCTCGCCTCTTACACATTAATCTGACCCCTGGGAAGGAAGTAGAAAACTGTACATCCCAACCAGTGAGCCTCCCAGAAGCATTGAGGTCATATTGCTATAACATTCTTGGTTAATTGAGCTGGTACTAGCTGAGCCTGCAGGAAAAGATGTGAAGGGCCTCAAAGTCTCTCACTGTAAGGAATACTGGAAACATGTTATAGTGAACCCCAAGTTACTCTTCAAAGAATCAGTATGTCAATATGTTCAGCTGTCTTATTCTTTAATTCTCTATTTTAAAGTTTAACTTCCTTGTAATTCCAATAAACAACCTTCTCCACCCATTCTAATCACATCTGCTCCCCCTCCCCACCCTGGCTCCATCCTGACTCATGCTAGTCACCTGATCACCCCTGGCTACCTGCTCTAACACACCAGTAACTGTCCTTCCCGCCAAAACACCTACCCTGCCACTCCAGTTCGGACAACTGCTCTTTTTAAAATAGCCAATCAAGATTAGTCTAGCTTGTGCAGTCTAACTCTAGCCAACAGGGGATGACACAGCAGTAGGGACGACCCTCATCAGGCATAAGTACCCATTACCCCCTTGTCCAAGCGTGCGATGGCCATCATTGCTCTGTCTGTGCACCCCATACCCTTCTTTAGAAGTAAACTGCCTTGCTGAGAGGACTTATCTTCGAGTACTATTTCTTTTGTAGCATCAAAATTTTACTTGTAACAAACATATGCCTTGCTTCTCCTTAGCTCATGGCCAGAGCTGGAGCTCCATGCCTCCCTCCCCTCCCTCCACTGAGAATGAATTTCTATGTTTTGAGAATACATACAGTGACTGAACAGGAGAAAGGAACTCAGAGAACTCAGCCTGCTCATCTGGCTGGGAGCAGCACTCATGAGGAGGACCTGAGTTGGAAGAGCCCCTGTGATCTGTTCAGGAATGTGAATTAGCCATGGTCCAGGGATCCTTGCACTTGGTGGAATTTGGAAGCAGGACTATCCTCTTAGAGTGGAATAAGCCTCCAGAGTACTTGGACAATTCTAGATCTGGTGGCCAAGAAAGATATGCCAAAACCCCTGCTATAAAAGAAAGATAAATCAACTGACCATATGATCCAGCAATCCACTTCTGGGGATATACACACACAAGTTGAAAGCAGGGACCTGAACAGATATTTGTACACCCATGTTTACAGCAGCATTATTCACAATAGCCAATAGGTGGGAGCAACCCAAGTGTCCATCAATGGACCCCTCTTCAGAATAATGCTTTGTTTTGTTTTGTTTTGTTTTGAGACAGGGTCTCACTCTATCACCCAGACTGGAGTGCAAAGACAGTGGCGCTATCATAGCTTCACTGCAGCCTTTCCGAGGTTCAAACAATCCTCCTGCCTCAGCCTCCTGAGTAGCTGGGACTACAGGTGTGCATCAACATGCTCAGCTATTTTTTTTTTCCTAGAGATGTGGGTCTTACTACATCACCCAGGCTGGTCTCAGACTCCTGAGCCCAAAGGATCCTCCTGCCTTCGCGAAGCATGCACAAGTTTCAATAGCCGAATTGACCAAGCAGAAGAAAGAATATCAGAAGTCGAAGATCAACTCAATGAAATAAAATGAGAAACCAAGATCAGAGAAAAAAGCGCAAAAAGGAATGAACAAAGTCTCCAAGAAATGTGGGACTATGTGAAGAGACCTAACCTACATTTGATAGGCGTACCAGAATGTGACGAAGAGAATGAATCCAAGCTGGAAAATACTCTTCAGGACGTTATCCAGGAAAATTTTCCCCACCTAGCAAGACAGGCCAACACTCAATTGCAGGAAATACAGAGAACACCACAAAGATATTCCGCAAGAAGAGCAACCCCAAGGCACATACATAATCATCAGATTCAACAAGGTTGAAATAAAGGAGAAAATACTAAGGGCAGCCAGAGAGAAAGGTCGGGTCACTCACAAAGGGAAGCCCATCAGACTCACAGCAGATCTCTCGGCAGAAACACTACAAGCCAGAAGAGAGTGGGGGCCAATATTCAACATCCTTAAAGAAAAGAACTTTAAACCCAGAATTTCATATCCAGCCAAACTGAGCTTCATAAGTGAAGGAAAAATAAAATCCTTTGCGAACAAGCAAGTACTCAGAGATTTTGTCACCACCAGGCCTGCTTTACAAGAGCTCCTGAAGGAGGCACTACACATAGAAAGGAACAACCAGTACCAGCCATTCCAAAATCACACTAAATGCTAAAGAGCATCAACATAACGAAGACTCTACAACAACTAATGGGCAAAACAGCCAGCTAGCATCAAAATGGCAGTATCAAATTCACACATAACAATATTAACCCTAAATGTAAATGGACTAAATGCACCAATCAAAAGACACAGACTGGCAAATTGGATAAAAAGCCAAAACCCATCAGTGTGCTGTATCCAGGAAACCCATCTCACATGCAAGGATACACAAAAGCTCAAAATAAATGGATGGAGGAAGATTTACCAAGCAAATGGAGAGCAAAAAAAAGCAGGAGTTGCAATTCTCATCTCTGATAAAATAGACTTTAAAGCAACAAAGATCAAAAGAGACAAAGAAGGCCATTACATAATGGTAAAAGGATCGATGCAACAAGAAGAGCTAATGATCCTAAACATATATGGACCCAATACAGGAGCACCCAGATACATAAGGCAAGTTCTTAATGATACAAAGAGACTTAGACTCCCACACAATAATAGTGGGAGACTTTAACACCCCACTGTCAATATTAGACAGATCAACCAGACAGAAAATCAACAAGGATATCCAGGGCTTGAACTCAGACCTCGAGCAAGCAAACCTGATAGACATCTACAGAACTCTCCACCCCAAATCCACAGAATATACATTCTTCTCAGCACCACATCACACCTACTCTAAAATTGACCACATAATTGGAAGTAAAGCACTGCTCAGCAAATGCAAAACAACTGAAATCATAACAAACAGCCTCTCAGACCATAGTGCAATCAAGTTAGAACTCAGAATTCAGAAACCAACCCAGAACCGCACAGCTTCATGGAAACTGAACAACTGGCTCTTGAATGTTGACTGGATAAACAATTAAATGAAGGCAGAAATAAAGAAGTTCTTCAAAACCAATGAGAATGAAGACACAACATGCCAGAATCTCTGGGACACATTTAAAGCAGTCTCTAGAGGAAAGTATATAGCAATAAGTGCCCATATGAGAAGAATGGAGAGATCCAAAATTGACACCCTATTGTCAAAATTGAAAGAGCTAGAGGAGCAAGATAAAAAAAACTCAAAACCCAGCAGAAGACAAGAAATAACTAAGATCAGAGCTGAACTGAAGGAGATTGAGATACGAAAAACCCTTCAAAAAATCAATAAATCCAAGGACTGGTTTTTTGAAAAGATCAACAAAATAGACCACTAGCCAGATTGATTAAAAATAAAAGAGAGAACAACCAAATAGATGCAATAAAAAATGATAAAGGGGAAATCACCACAGATTCCA